CGCCCCCGTGGACTTGAAGCCATCCACGTGTTCTTGTGTACCTAACCCTGTGTTGTGCGGGCATTGAAGTGAAGAAAATCTTTGTAACTTAGAGTGGACTTCCTAAGAACATTGGAACAATTTCGTTTGCCGATAGAAGAGAACGGAATTGACCATCGTGTGAACATTTGAAATCAGTTAAAATCAGAACCTTGAACTAGCGTTTGAGCCCATTTGCTGGTCTCTTCGCCGCCCGCGCGCCCTTCGCTCGTGCCTGTGCGTGGGCGCCGTGACGCAGCGCAGCCAAGGTGCGTTACAGAGAGGACTCGGACGGTCGCTTCCTCCCGCGTGACCCTCCTATATGCAAACAAAAGCGCGTCGGCTCCGACTTCGCCTCCGCCGCCCACGCAGCCACCGACGCCCTCCTCAGGAGCCCCGGGCCCCCCAGACCCCCCCGCGGCAGCGCCTGCAGCAGCCCGTCCGCCGCCGCCGCGCCGCTCCGCCGCAGGGACAGGGTATCTATGTCCTTCTCGGTGGCCAACCCGGGGTCGTCGTATGCCGCAGCGAGCGCAGCCCAGGGCGCCTGGACACCTGACCAGGACTCCGTCGTCTCGGGCTTCACCGACGCCAGCATCTACGCGTCGCTCCAGCGCCACCCACAGGCCGGGCCCTTCTCGCACCCGCAGCACTTCCAGCAGCAGCAGTACCACCAGCAACAGCAGCAGCAGCCTCCGCCGCCCCACCTCAGGCGCAAGGCGTCCTTCGTGTCTCTCCGGAGCGCCAATGCTCGGCCCCTACACAAGAGAGGAAGGTGAGGGCTCCGCTGTGCGTTGGCATGTCCATAGTTCTTTCTTTCCAAATAGCTTTAATCATTGTATCACCTTTTTAGTGCTCACCTCTATATCCAGAATGAAGTTCTCATAGATATCTACATCAGATATCTCATATATGTCTATATTAATCCCAACACGATACCAGTACAAGCTCCCTCAACGCTCAGGTAGTTAGATCTAAGATCAAATAAATACTCACTTCCTCTGAGCTCTACAGCCCATCAGGCCATCACTGTATCCATACACGAAGATCATTAGTGCTAACCCTGTTCCGCCGTCTCGCTGAACCTCGATGTCCGTCTGTTCCTTTTGGGGGACGTCGAAGCGTCACCTAATTGATCCTGGCGTCTTGTCTCTCTTCGGGATGAGCGACTTGATCTCTCGGGGCCGCAGTCGGTATCGGACGTGGAATAGAAATAGAAACAGAATAGAACCAAAGCGGGCCGTACGGTTTAGCCTCGAGGATACATTCCGTCTTTCCATTTTGTTAAGCATGTAGGAGACTAAGAGAGAGGGGAAGGCCGCCGTTTCCAGGCAGAAAGATTCGTGCATATGACAGATGCTTATAATTACTAATTACTACTACTACTAATAAGATAATAGCTAATGATAGTAATGATGATATTGATGATGACAATGATAATGGTGAATATAATGATAGTGATTATGATAATGACAAAATGATGATAATGGTGATGATTATAATAATAAAATGATAATGATAATGATAATGATAACGGAAATGATAACCATAAAAAGATAACGCTGCAATAGTTCTCTCCGAAGGACAACAGAAATTGCTAATATAACCGATGTAGTTCCTTAACCCATTTTAACGCGCGTCAGACGCATCTCGTTAAGTGTCTCCAAACTGGCTTGTTTCTCTGTGATAAGTTAATGAACTTGCAAATTAACATTTTCTTGAGTGTCCAACTCTTGATTGTCAAAGTCACTGGATTTTGAAGCAGAATTGAAGCTTTTTATACAGGATAGGCAATCTCTCTCTCTCTCTCTCTCTCTCTCTCTCTCTCTCTCTCTCTCTCTCTCTCTCTCTCTTTCTCTTTCTCTCTCTTCTCTTTCTCTCTCTCTCTCTCTCTCTCTCTCTTCTCTCTCTCTCTCTCTCTCTCTCTCTCTCTCTCTCTCTCTCTCTCTCTCTTCTCTCTCTCTCTCTCTCTCTTTCTCTCTCTCTCTCTCTCTCTCTCTCTCTCTCTCTCTCTCTCTCTCTCTCTCTCTCTCTCTCTCTCTCTCTCTCTCTCTCTCTCTCTCTCTCTCTCTCTCTCTCTCTCCCTCTCTCCCGTCTCCCTCTCCCCTCTCCCTCTCCCTATCCCGTCTCCCCTCTCCCCTCTCCCCTCTCCCTCCCTCCCTCTCATTCTCCCTCCCTCCCTCCCTCCCTCCCTCCCCTTCCCTCCCTCCTCATTTTTTTAAGTTCATCTCCAGAAGCTGTCCATCATGTATAATCAGCTGTAATAACTTGAGCAAGTCGTCAGCATTCTTAAGTCTGTTGCTGGAATCGTTAGCCAGTTGATGGAATGAGGGGTATTGGAGAGAAGACGAGGGGGAGAGGAAGAGGAGAGAAGGGAAGGAGAAGACGGGAAAGGGGGAAGGGGAAGAAGAAGAAGGAGAAGGAGAAGGAAAAGAAGAAAAATAATAATAAGAAGAAAGGTGACAAAGGAGAAGAAAAAGTAGATGAAAAAATAATGAATTAATAAATAAGGAGGAAATAAAGGAAAAGTGACAAGGAGATTTTATGATGATAAAATCAAGAATAAAAAACAAAGTTTAGCAAGATCGAAGTGGGGTTCACAGGAGGATGGAGAAGAATCTCTTTCTTCTCCATCCAAGAGGAGGGAAAGTAGGAATAAATAATGATGACAATGATGATGATAATGAATATGATAATGATGACAATAACAAGAAGGTGAGAAGGACTGTATAAAGAGAAAAAGAGAAAAAAAGATAAAATGTAGGGGGAAAATAGCAAAAAGAGAAAAGAGAGAAGATAAAAGATAGGGGGTTAGCAAAAATAAATAAATAAATGAATAGAAAATAAATGAAATAAGATTTTTAAAAAATAAATAAATAATATGGGGAAGGAGGGAGAGACAGAGGGGGAGGGAGAGAGTTGCAGACACGCCCTTCTTGCCCCGAAAAGCCCAGCCAACATGGCCGCGGACTCAAACTGCCAAATTTGTTTCCAGAACGTTTTTACATTTTTTTTTTCTTGTCTCGGAAGGAATCTGATTAGATATGCCCTTGATAATGAGCTCGTTACGCCCGCTTACAGAATTTTCCTAACTGGGAAAATTGATTGTGTGATGGCTTGTTTTCTTGAATTGGTTGTTTGTTTTATTCTTGTTAAATCGTCTTGTAGATTCTTCTTATTTTCTCCTGGATTTGGTGGTTAGTGAGGTTGCAAAAAAGTATATTTATTAGTGATAAATTTCTTATTAGTTTTATTGATAGTGATGATGATGGTGATGAAGGCGATGATGACGATTAGAATTTAACTACCGGTAGTGATGATAATGGTTCCGGTAAAATTAGTGATGACGGATTGGTTATTAAGATATTATGAAGATTTTAAGGTTACAAATATATTAATGATCATAATTTGATATTTATTCGTCTATTGTTATTAATGATGAAATTATATGGACTAAAGATATAACAAGAAACAAACAAACGAGCAACCAACAGCAGCAGGAAAATCAAAATCAAAATAGTTTCAAATCAATGAGTGGCAAACTCTACGGTTAAAACTCTCCATGTTTCACCCAAGAAGCCCGCCAATACATCGCTGTTGACAGTCCCAAGATTTTTTTCTTTCTTTCTTTTTCTTTGTATTCGAGAAGGATCTCATAAATTACGTAGTTCTATTTCGTTAAGAGAATATTTGACGCTCCGAATAGCGAAGATTGTCAAGGGTCAACCATTTTTTTCTTAGATTTATAAACAACGTAGAGCATTCTGTCGACCTTCTCGTGAATTCCCGAAAATAATGTGAGGGGGACCTTGTACCCCCTCCTCCCCCCCTCCCCCTATCCCCCCTTTGTCAATGGCATTGGAATTCTCTAATTGCAAAAACACTCTTTGATTGACTTGAAACCTTGATCCACTGAGATAATTGTAGGATTTCCGAGTCCTTAAGGAGTCTTAGCGCGCCAGATGAGCAGATCATGAGCGGCGGCTCTGTGTTCTCTGGTCGTCCCCCTTCTCTTATTCCTTTCTTTCTTCTCTTCTCTTTTTCTGCGTGGCGTTCGTGTTTTTTGTTTCTTTCTTCTATATTTTTTTCTTTCTTTTGTTTTTAAATTTTCTTGTTTTTTATTTTTTTCGTCTTCCTCTTTCTTCTTTTTTTTTCTTCCTCTAGTTTTTTTCATCTCCATTTCTTTCTACTATTTTCTTTTCTTTTCTTTCTTTTATCATAATCAACTGTAAGAACGTATTAACCGGTAGAGGAATCAGGAAACACGAGAGAAAAAAATATAAAAAACCTAAAAAAAAAAAAAAAAAAAAAAAAAAAAAAAAAAAAAAACACGAAGGGAATTAAATCCAAAAATATATTGGTCCTCTTTTGACTTCCTTCGTAGCCTGCCTTTCTTACCTTTCTTTCTTACCGCGTACCGCCCCCCCCCCATTTCCCCCCAACATGCCTGTCTGCAGTTTATTTAGGCATTTGTGTTTTGTCTCGGGGACGGAGCTGAAACTTTGTTTCATTCGCTGATTCATTTTTTCGTAACTTTTGAAAGACAACTTCGGATTGCAGGCCATCGTTTTATATTTGTTTGTTTACATTACATATATGTTTTTATTAAGTACTTATTGATAGATAGACAGATAGATATAAACACACGCACACGCACACGCACACGCACGCACGCGCACACACACACGCACACGCACACGCTCACACACACACGCACACACACACGCACACACACGCACACGCACACACACACACACCACACACACACACACACACACACACACACACGCACACGCACGCACGCACACGCACACACACACACACACGCACACACACGCACAACACGCACACACACACACACACACACACACACACACACACACACACACACACGCACACGCACACACGCACACACACACACACACACACACACACACACACACACACACACACACACACACACACACACACACACACACACACAC